CCCTCCTCCCTCTGCCTCTCCACCACACCACGCGCTTGGATTATAGGTGTGTGCCACAGCACTCATAATTATTTACTTTAAGTATAGGTCCTTCTTAAGCATTCTCTGTTCATAGAATTAGCTTCGTGTGTGTGTGTGTGTGTGTGTGTGTGTGTGTGTGTGTGTGTGTGTGTGTGTGTGTAATCTCTGTTAACCCCTACTAGCCTTGAGAAACAGTAATTGCTCACTTCACCAGAACAGTAAAAAATCAGAGTTATAGAATTTGCATCCAACAGGTCAGAGTCAAAAGTAAAGCCCATATCTGCCTGAATGTCATCTAACTTCACATGAGGACATGCAGAAATTCACTAGCAGGCCAAGAATTAAAAAAACTTGGACTTAGAATTGAGAATAGTTTCACCAAACTATCAGTCAATAAGTGCTTTATGTGAGGCTTTGGGCAAGTAACCAGAAGAATAAGTGAGGGGAAGAAAAGGATGTCTGTCTCTTCCCAGGTCTGAGGAAGGCTAAGAACAATTATAAAAACAAAATATACCAGAAACAAGACAGCTCTCCTCTGGAAGCATGGACAGGCCATTGTTTTCACCAGAGTTATTTGTCTGTTTAGATTAAAATTATAAATACTGAATAGTGTCCAGTTTCATGAATGTTGTTCCCAGAGTGCTTTGGTCATATAACAAATAAAAGAATCAAAGATAAGTTGAATACCTTGATTTTGAATACACAGCACTTCTACTTGTATCCATTTCAATCATCACAGCTTTAACAATGATCTCTTCTACTGAATGTATTTTACCTTTCACCCCTGAGCAAATAGATGTCTTGCCTGGGACCTGTTCATCTATTTGTTACTACTGCACATCTAGTGCCTGAAAAATTATTGTAGCTTCACAGCTAAGTACTTCCTCTTACTATTTGATGGCTTCTATTGAGATCTCTTGTAAGGTAGGCTATATTGCCAACTTTTTAAATTATTAATATTAGTTAAAGTAATTTCTAATTGTTTTTGAATGTGATGCATGCAATGTTATATTTGTATGCCTTTCTCACTTCCATAGGTTCCTATGTTCTAGAGAGTAGCAAGTGCACCCAAGCTTAGAATAACTCTAGACAACACAACTCCAAACCCACATTCTCCTCAGTGCCTTTTCCTCATTTTTAAGATGATTTTACTTTTATTTTATGTGCATTGGTGCTTTACCTGTGTTTATGTCTGTATGAAGGTGTCAAATAACTTTGCACTGGATTACAGACAGATGCAAAGTGCCATCTGAGTGCTGGGAATTGAACTCAGGACCTCTGGAAGAGCAGCCAGTGCTCTTAACTGTGAGCCATCTCTCCAGCCCCTCTTTTTCCTAATTTTTATTGTTTGTGTTTTGTTTTTTTGTTTGTTTGGTTGGTTGGTTAATGATTTTTGGTTGTTGAGGTTTTTTTTTTTTTTTTCTTGCTTTTGTGACTGGGTTTCTCTGTGTAGCCCTAGCTGTGCTGGAACTTGCTTGGTAGACCAAGCTGGCCTCAAACTCACAGAGATTCCCCTGCCTCTGTCTCTCAAGTGCTGGGATTAAATGCTAGTGTGCTACCACTGCCCAGCTTTCCTATCTTTTTTTGATGGGGGAGGGATTTCCAGATAGGCTTCACTGTAGCTTTGGAGGCTGTCCTGGATCTCACTCAGTGGACCAGGCTGGCCTCAAATTCACAGAGATCTACCTGTCTCTGCCTCCCGAGTGCTGGGATCAAAGGCGTGCACCACCATCACCCTGGGCTTTCCTAATTTTTAAACTAAATTTGTCTTTAAGGTTTGCATGGGTGACATCTAGGCCATTGGCACAGAAATCCTTAAAATATAATGGAGCAAGCAATCCTCATGCCCAAGAAGAAATAGCCCTGGGACTCTGGGTTCTCATCCAGACCCAAGGCCAATAACAGCTGCTTAGCCTTGCAGATAGTTAATAGTGATTTGTGAGAAACTGTTAAGTGCACAATGTGTTCCAAGACACACAGGAAAATTTGAGTCCAATATTTGTCAAATTCATATCTTTCTCTCAAGGGTACAAATGTATTGAAGAAAGCTATGAAAACAATGCAATACAGTATTTCAAAAATGAAGGTAATGTTAAGTTTTTCATTCAATTCTTTACATGAGTTCTAAGGAAGAAACAATTTTATCAGAAATTAGCAAAAGCTTTCCCAAATGTGTGATTTGAATGAAGTCTAACTACAAAGCACCTATAAATAAAACCATGAATAAGCTAAATTAAATAATAGAGGCAAGGATGCACATTCCTCTTTCCTGCCATGTGGGATGCACACGTTCAGAACTTAAGAACTCTGGGGGTGTGTTACCAGAACTACTGTGAAGACAATTCTCGTGGACTGCAGCGTGATTTCCAATCTTCATTGCGTGGAACCACAGGAAGGAGGAGGAGTGGCGAGTTTAGAATAAACCCTGGGAGCACAGGCAGTGCCGCTGTCAGTCTCTGTGCTTCTGCTAAGGTATAAGGACTTCCCCTCCCTGCCTGGGACTGAACGCTGGTGACAGGGCCTTCATGGAGTGTGTAAACAAGACTGTGGTGAAGGAGTTTGTCTTCCTTGGCTTCTCGACTCTGGCGGAGCTGCAGCTGCTGCTCTTCATAGTCTTCCTGCTCCTCTATTTGTTTACTTTGAGCACCAATGCCGTGATTATCTCCACCATTGTGCTAGACAGGGCCCTTCACACCCCCATGTACTTCTTCCTTTCTGTCCTCTCCTGTTCCGAGACCTGCTACACCTTTGTCATTGTGCCTAAGATGCTGGTTGACTTGCTGGCTCGGAAGAAGAGCATCTCGTTCCTTGGCTGTGCCGTCCAAATGTTTGCCTTCCTCTTCCTTGGTTGTTCCCACTCCTTCCTGCTGGCAGCAATGGGTTATGACCGCTATGTGGCCATTTGCCACCCTCTGCGATACACAGTGCTCATGGGACACAGGGTATGTGTGGGGCTAGTAGCTGCTGCCTGTGTCTGTGGCTTCACTGTGGCACAGATTATCACATCCTTGGTGTTTCACCTGCCCTTCCAGACGTCTAACCAACTCCGTCACTTTTTCTGTGACATCTCCCCCGTTCTCAAGTTGGCATGCCACCACGCCCACTTCACTCAGATCACCATTTTCCTGCTCTGTGTGTTGGTCCTGGTAATCCCTCTGTTGTTGATCTTGGCATCATACGTTCACATCATTTCTGCCATCCTCCAATTCCCTTCCACATTAGGCAGGTACAAAGCATTTTCTACCTGTGCTTCTCACCTCATTGTGGTCATAGTCCACTATGGATGTGCCTCTTTTATCTATCTAAGGCCTAAGTCCGGCTACTCTTCAAGCCAGGATGCTCTGATATCCGTATCCTACACTATCCTAACTCCGTTGTTCAACCCGGTTATCTACAGCTTAAGAAACAAAGAGTTCAAATCAGCTCTTCATAGAGTTATAGGAAGAACAGTTACCCTAAGACAATGCTAATCTGTATCCTGCCTGTTTTCAAATAACTAAGAATAATGGACACAGAGGGAAATTCTCTAGATGGAAATAAATAAGCAATTGCACATCGTGTTCACAAATAGAGAATATTTTCCCTGACTTCCAATATAAAATTCAGAAACACACAAATTCTTGCCTTGATGATATGGAACATTGTCCAGTAAAGAATATTACATGAACCCACTTCTGTTCTAGGAGGCCAGTGTTGCAGCTAATCGCGGCTGTCAATTCACACAGGAGCTAGAATCAGCTAAGACACAGACTTCTGGGCAGACGTGTGAATGCATTTCCAGAAGGGATTAGCTGAGGGGAGATCTTCCCTCAGAGTAAACAGAGCCTTCAACATGTAGCCCAGATGTAAAGATGTCTGAGGAGAGGGATGTTGCTTGCCTGCCTGCTTTCCCAAATTGCATCTATGTCTGTTATTTTTGTTGTTGCTGCGCTACTACTGCTGCCTCATTTTGATGGCTACTTTGGAATCCCAGCACAGACAAGTGGATCTCCAGGGACCATCCAGGTCTTAAGCACAAACTTTTTGACTGCTGAAAAATCAGCCTCATGGACTGAGCACCTCTAATGCTCTCAGCCTCTGCAACATGCACATAGCCAGTACTGGACTGTGTAGTCAGTTCCTCCTGTGTGGACGACTCTAGTGGCTCTGTCTCCCAGGGAGCCCCATCTGATGCACTGGGAAGTGCTTTATATCTAGATTGTGCTCTTTCTGAGTGATTTCTGAATTGTGTTATTTCAATATAATTAAGTTACAATTTTAATGAGATAATTGGAAAACTGCTAGTCAAAGTTTGGTGCATATAATACAGGCAACTGATGCTCTCATGAGAAAGTTATAAAACAACTATTTTGGTGTTTCTTTAAGTTTTTATTCAAATATACTGTGTGTTAATAATATCAGTGTATCTAATGAATAGACTTTCTTTTCTAACGTTTAAATAAGTTTAAAACTTACTTTACTCAACATTCACCAAGTGGAAAGCTGTGTGGAGAGTCACGAGTGAGTCAGGGATCCACAGGAGGCCAGGACCAGAACCAGAGAAGGCCTCTTGTGAAGGATGGGGAAACATACGGATGTCTGTTCATGTTTCTTTCTGTGGTCTGCTTGTGAATAAAAATTTCTGAATTCATTTTTTTCTTCCTGTTTTCCTTTTCTTCAACGAATTAGTTCTTCAGTGGTGAAGATTGGTGGTGTAAACCTTTCAGGTAGTGAAATAAGAAAAAAGAAAAGGAATATCCTATCAAATGCCTGCTCATTTTACAGCCTGTCTGCTAGGGTGTTAGCCCACTTCATTTCTTCTGTATCTTTAAAGCTTGAGACAGTATACAGATAGGGCTTGAAGGAAATGGGTATTAAAGTTAACTTATGTAGCTGCTAAGTTATTTTCTTCCTTTTGCTTCATAATTACCGCAGTCTTCTGGCCTATCAAGTTGTCTCACGGAAAGGAAATGGACTTAACCCCTACTATGGATCCCTTTAACATGTCAATTGTTTGCACTTGTAGTGTTTCTTTAGAAGGTTGCTTCATGTGTACCTTAAAGCAGCCTTGAGAAGTATGCATTATGGTCCACATTTTATAGAAGAAAAAATTGATACTAAGAGAACTAAAATGATTTCCCTACTGATGAATAGAAGAACTTGAGAGCACATCTGATGTTGAAATTGTGCACTCCCATGACCCTTTGTAATACTGATTGTTTTCATTAATAGAGAACAGAACATGTAAGTATGTAGATGACTAATTCCCCTGACATCTGTAGAAAACACCTCAGCCTTAGATAAATAGCCTTCAAATCTTGTTCTTTTTCAAGAATAGTGTACACTGTCTATTTGGTGTCATATTACAGAGGACAAACAAACAGAAAAATCATTGTGTATCAAAAGGTCATGGCTATAAGGGTCAGGAAGATGGCTTGGTGGGTAAAGGTGTAAGCTGTCAAGCCTCAACGCCTGACCCTAGAACAAATATGGTGGAAGGAAAAAATTAACTCCTGCAAGTTAGCATTTGACCCCCACATTCATGCAATGGCATGTGTACACCAGTGTACACACACACACACACACACACACACACACACACACACACACACACACACACACACACACACAAAAAAAAAAAAAAAAAACCCTTAAACAGAAAACAAACAGCACCCCTCAAACAAACAACAAAAAGGTCATGTATGTTAGATTGCATTTTCTGACATTCAATCCTTCCTCCTATTTTTCCTTATGAATAAAGAGTTAAATCTACCTTGGACCCATGATCTCTTAAGTTTAACCTGAACTTCTTGGTCATTCTAGTCACACACACACACACACACCCCTCCAAATACAAATATAACTTGAAGGAAAATGGTACCATTCTGAGATTTACAGTTTGCTTTTAAAGAGACCAAACTCCTGCAGGCCATATGCCTAGGCCACAAGTTCCAGCTGAACTTACCAAAAAACTAGCCTTTGAACATCAGGCATAAGGAACTACAGTGACATGGGGGAGAAAGGGCTAGAAAGGGAGGAAGCTCTGCTATCAAGAGTGGATATGCTTCCATTGTGGAAGAAGACAAGACAGCAGACTCCATGGAAGATGGCCTAATGGTCCACCAACACAGTACATGTTTCCTAAAAGATGTTCTGTGAAAGGCAGTAAGTAAGCTGATATCACACAGCAATGCATCCCCACAGATACCTCCATCGAGGACAGTAATAGGACTGGACTTAGGGCAAAGATGATATGAACTTATATATGAAATACTTTCATTTCAACCTTGTTACAAAGTATGTACCATGGGCATTCTTAGAGAGGGAGCATATAGCTTTCTTAGCAACCTTTAGGGATTCAACTTGAAAGCCACCAAGATTGCACATATACCAATTGTAAAAACCAAAAACAAAAACAAAAACAAAAACAAAAACAAAAACGAGGGTGGTGGTAACCCATGCCTTTAATCCCAGTGCTTGGGTGGCAGGGGCATTCAGATCTCTGTGAGTTAAAGGCCAGCCTGGTCTACAGCGCCAGTTCAAGGACAGCCAGAGCTACACAGAGAAAACCTGTCTCAGAAAAAAAAAAAAAAACTATTCTATTTTATTCTATTCTAGATTTTGGGAATTGTCTGGGGATGGGTGGAGATAGGAACAGGAGGGATTAGATGGGGAGGGAGGGGTGGAGGGAGAGAGTATGGGGAGAGATGATAGGGAATTGGAGGGAGTTGGGGGGCAGGCGATGTGGAAAACAAGTGCAGTAGAAACTTCCTTGAAATTAAGAGGGTGACCCTATTGAGAACTCCTAGTGATGGGGGACACTGAGCCTGAACCATCCATCTCTGTAACCAGGCAAGGCTTCCAATGGTGGGACTGGGACACCAACCCAGCCACACAATCTTCAATCTACAGTTTGTGCTGCCTGCAAGATGTACTGGGGAAATGATAGCTCCAGTGGGAGTGGCCAAACAATCATTGGTCTAACTCGAGGCCCAAGTCACCAAAAGGAGCCTATGCCTGACATTGCCTGGATAACCAGGAACCAGAAACTGGATGGCCCAGAGACCTAGGGTAGAACCAAACATAATTGACCAATAATAATAGTAATAATATATCATTGAAATGACTCCTAACACAATTTTGCTATACTCATAGATCAGTACCTAGCCCAGTCATCATCAGAGAGGCTTCTTCCAGCAACTGATGGGTGCAGATGCAGAGATCTACAGCTCAACATCATACAGAGCCAGGGAACCCTGTGGAAGAAGGGGAGAAAGGATTGTAGAAGCTAGAGGATTTGAGTGTACCAGGAGAACATGGCTCACGGAATCAACTAAGCAGGGCTCATGGGGTTCACAGAGACTGAATCAGCAATCATGGAGCCTGCGCTAGGTCCTCTGCAATGTATTGGGTTGTTTAGCTTTGAGTTTTTGTGGGACTCTTAACAGTGAGAGTGGAGGTGTCTCTGACTCTTTTTCCTGCTCGTGGGACCCTTTTCCTCCTACTGAGTTGCCTCCTCCAGCCCTGATAAGAGGGTTTGTGCCTAATCTTATTGCATTGTTATGGTGTGTTCAGTTGATATCCCTGGGAGACCTGCTCTTTTCTGAACAAAGACTGAGGAGCAGTGAATCTGGGGGAGGGGGACTAAGATGAATGGAGGGAGGGGAGGCTGTGGTCAGGATGTATTGTATGAGAGAAGAATAAATAAAAAAAAAAGAAAAACCAAAGAAAGAAAGGAAAAGGAAATTCAACCTATTTTGTTCAGCAGTAGTGATGCATGCTTTTAATTCCAGCACTCAGAGGCAGAGGCAGACGCAGGTGGATCTCTGTGAGTTTGAGGCCAGCCTGGTCTACAGAACAAGTTCCAGGACAGTCAGAAATACACGGAAAAACCCTATTTCAAGAAAAAATGATAATTATGACTCTTCTGAGTACACATAGCTTGTTATCCTTTGCCAGGTGGTATCTGTTTGCTTTCTTGCCTGGACAATACTTGCCTCAGTTTTAATTCTGTAAAGATTTAAAATGGCCCTTAATGGTTAATAAAATACACCGACTTTCCCTTAGTTGGAGTAGGCTAACAAGGCTGTTTCTCAAAGTGGTCAGCCCTGAAATCATATACAGACAACAAAAATTGACTTAGCAGGTTGTGTTTAAATATTCGTGAGTATGTATGTATATGAAACAACAGTAATTAAGGAAAAAGAAGCCATCAGATTAAGAGATTGCATTTTTCTTGGTTCTATCTGCTGCAAAGAGATAGGAGGTGTTGGAGGGAGGGGACATGGAAGGACGGGAGGGGGAAAAGGGATGGGGAAGTGATGTAACCATATTTAAATAAAACTGTGTTTTTCTTCTCCATTTTTGAGATTATAATTACAACATTCCTCTCTTCCCTTCCTCCCTTAAGCTCTCCTATATACAACTCCACACTCTCCTTCAAATTCAAGGTCTCTTTCATTAATCATCATAATAGGTATACATGTATGGGCACATGCATATATATTCTGAAATATAACCTGCTCTGTCCATACAGTTACTGGTATGTATGTTTTCAGGACTGATCATTTGGCAATAGACAATCAACCCTCCCAGCTTTCCTCAGTTGCCTATAACTCTTGATGTAGGACTGGGGCCTAGAGGGCCTTCTCACTCACTGTGTCATGTCCATTGGTATAGTTGGTGTTCAGCTCATGTTGGGCAGTCATGGGTGTAGCTTCTGACATTACAGGAGATACAATCAAACGACAGACTCCCTGATCCTACAATCTTTCTGGCCCCGTACCCAGCAATGTTCACGAACATTGAGTCTGGTAGTGTTTTGTAGATTTATCCATTGGGACTGAGTTCCACAACTCTGCATTTCAGGTCTTTACCTCCATTCGTTGTGCACTGAATTTTAATATCTACCCATACCTGTTATCCTGTGTTTCTAGATCTAAAGTTCCCTGGTCTGGAAACCAAGGGCTAACTGTTTGCACAGTCAGATGACCAGTGCTAATTTAAATTCCCTTTTTCTTAAGTGTATGTTTAATAATATCAGTGAAGAACCATCTTTTGTTAGACTGTCTCTGATCCATCTAGAGGGAAAAACAAACACAAAGGGGGAAAACATAAGGGGAAAAAGTAAATTACTCATCAGTCTTTACCTGACACTTACGTGGTCAGGGGGGCTAGGGGCACCCTGACTGACATCCTAACCATACTGAACCATTCTAGAATTGCCTCTTCCCTGGACAGTCCTGAGATTACCTTTTCAAGCCCCTGTTCCTGGCACCAGGTGCTGGGGGGGGGGGGGGGGGGGGGGCCCTCAGCAGGTCAGAGAAAGTTTAGAGGAGGTGTAGAGTCATCCAAACTGCAGGTACACACAGGACACTTTATCTGAGGGCTCAAAATTTAATTCTTTGTTTTCATTAACAAAAGCATCTTAACCAGGCCTTCCTAACATGCATGTCTGTATTCTCTCTAAGGGTGGTGGTTGAATCATTAATCTGCTCCAGCAGCAATGCTTGGAAAAAGTCAGTCACTATTACTATAAGCACCGGTGACACTGCCCAGTGAGAGGATAGAAACCCTCTTATAGTTCTCATACAACCCATAGAGTATGAAGGACTTGGTTACTTCGAGGGCAATCAGCAGAGCTGTGCTCAATAACAGCATGAGGTCCTTAAGGAAATGCAGTCCTTGGGGCCCTGCCTCTGTAAGCCTAACCCAGCGTGATTATGCTAACCGCTGAGCCTTTTTCCAAAGCTGCTTGCCATGCCTCTCACATGACCCCCAACATCTCCCCCTTTTAAAATTGTTAAATGAAGCTTATGAATATCGCTGAGCAGAGTGGATGGCAGCTCCCAGATGTCTGAAGATGACTGCCCCTAACCCAGTGCTCACTAGTCCGGGATCTGCAGCGCTGTGTGAGAGACTCCTACCCACACCAGGCATTAGAGAGTTGCCTCTTCCTGGACAATCCTCATGAGAATTGCTGCTCTCTGGACAATCCCCGAGGGCCACTGCCTCTTCCCTGGACAATCCTCAGTAAATTATCTCTTCAGGGTCAATGTTTGGATGCCACACGATGCCAAGAGAACCAGCTCTCAGCAGGCCAGAGTAACTAGAGAGGCAGGTGAACTACTGATTGGCACAACTGTGTACTCACCTGGGAGACTTTTCCTGAGGCCCAAACTTAATTCTTCATTTTCTTCTCTTACTGCTCTTACTCTTTCTTTCTCTGTTCTATTCTTTTACACTGTTGTCCCATTCTATTCCTTCCGTCTCCCTTCTACAAATTTCCTGATGTTTCCCTTTTCTTCTCTTAATTTTTCTTATCTCTTTTATATCTTCTAAGAAAAAAAATCTATGCAAGAGAAGATTACCTCACAACCACAAGTACACAGTTTCCAATAACAAATTAAAATCTTTACACAGGAAGAAATCACATGATCATAAGTCACATGTTTTTCTTAGAATCCCACAAGTAGTTAAACATTTTTTTGTATTAATTTCCCCACCATAATATCTTCACCCCAAAGCAATGATTCTTTTCTAATTGATTAACAATAAGCAGTCAAGTGTATTCCAGCTGCTTCCTTGTGTACTGGCTGGCAGCTGTTTGCAGTTACAATGTAGCAGATTTCTATTTTATTTCTACTCTACAGAAACGTTAAACAATAGTCAGATAAGCAGAAGGATCTTCTGCTTATCTTCAGCAGAAGGACCCCTGAAGTTGTTTGTCCATTTGTGATTGGCTTCTGCCTATGGATGAGGTTTTTAGGGTTTTTCCTGTAACTAGCGCTAAGGTCAGGGGCAGTCCCATCCACTGATTAAGAGTGGGAGGAGGGGATGCATCCTGCTCTGTTTTTTGTGCTATGGATGACGTTTGCTAACACCTGCATCTTTCACTGGGGCATGAAATTTAAATGTGTGGAACAAATATCGGGGACTAACTTTAAGGAAAAGGCAGACGGAGAATACTGCCTGTGGGAGGGAGAAAGTGAGTGAGTACTTCCCAAATCCCAGAGCATCTTCTTACCGTGAAATTAAATCCCAAAATGGCGTAGGTTTGTCCCAGAGCACAATATGTTAAGGGGTTTTTCTTTTACATTTATTCCTTGTTTTTGTTTTCTTATTTTTGCTTGATTGCTTGCTTGTTTTGGTTTTCGAGACAAGGTTTCTTTGTGTTCTATTGGCTATTCTGGAGCTAGCGCTCTGATCTTGGTGAGTCTCCAGATTACTGACTTCTAGCTTACACATCAGGATCTCAGGAATTAGAAATCCATGTCTGGATGTTTGTTTGATTTTGAGTCAAGGTCTCACCATCTATCCGTGAATGACTTTATTTTCAGAGGTCACCCTTCCATTAAAGGCTTGAACCTAGTACTTCCTAAATGTTTTAGAAGCTTTAGGCTGAGGGGGCGGAGTGAGTAGAGTTGGCCAATCAGGGAAAACATTGCTAAAAGGAATGAACTATCCAATGAGTAGCAAAGATAGTCACAGTGCTCTTTCTGTGTGTATTTTCAGGCAAATGGACCTGTGACTGTGTATTTTTGCTGACTTCAGGCCTCTTTGGGAAACACCTAGACACATCAGAAGCAAGAAATGGTGAGTGTGCCTTGGGCTGCTGGGATCCTGAGAGGTGGGTTGGGACATTAGCTCCTTTGCAGCAACAGCAGCTGCATTTTCCCTGGAGCTGTGCATTCCAGTAGAAGGTGGAATCTGCCCAGGAGGCATGCCTGTGCCCACGTGCTCTTGAAATGAGCGTCCCACAGGCGGCAGCCTTGAGCTGCATGTCCCCCACTATTCTGTCCTCATGAAACTGCTTCCAGGTAATTCTTAGCCCCCTTGGTTTAGTTCTTGCTGTGAATCTTCAGCTGCACAGATTTCCCAGCGCTGGCGGGTTGGTGATGCTGAGTCCAGACTGTCCTCTGTGTTCATGTTTTTTCCTTAGTTTCCCTTCTCCTTTTGTGCTTCTGTTTGGGCTGACTTAAGGGTGTTTGTTTGTTTGTTTGTTTTGTTTTGTTTTTTTCCTTATGACTTAGAGTTATTTCCTCTGACCTTCATTCCCTTCCTGCATGTGGTTTGACTCAGGATTGATCCCCAGGCCTCCTGGTGTTTTTGAAATTTGCCACAAACCTGTGACTGCGCCACTTATCACCACAACTTCTGTGTTTTTTCCTTTTTTTTTTTTTTTTTTTTGTAAAAGTGTGAAAGAGTTTTTTCTAGTTCTCTTGACAGCAGTTGTTCAACCTTACCAGTCTGAAAATAGAGAGATATTCAAATTTGCTTCACATTTTGTTGGCAGTGATTTTTTTTTTTTTTGAGGCCTCAGAAGTTTGAAAAGTTGCAGAATATGCAAAAGATGTGAGACTGGCAAATAGCCTCATGGAATTGGCTTTGTGTTTTTGTTGCTACTGCTTGTTTGGCTGTAGGCTGCTTTAGACAGAAGGGATTGGGAATGCAAATTCTGCACAAGTAATTTACAGTGTTGTAGCTCTTTGGGAAAATATAAATATTTCATCTCTCCCTTTGCCTCCATAGAGTTGGTTTTGGTAGACAGTGTAATTTCTTTCTACTCTGGAAACTTTAGAATGTTCATATGAGAGAAGTCAAGTGTGCTTTCTACTGGATTAAAAACTGGTTTTTAGTGGCTCTGTATAATTAATATTTCCCGTAAGGTCCATTTGCCTGAAAATTTCACTTGTTTCATCATTGCTGCGTGGACTCTAATGTACACATGTGCCACAGCTCCATAGTGCAGACATCAGCCGAGGAGCATCCAGGCTGCTTCTTTTAACTATTGGCACTAGAGCAGCAGTGACCATGTTGTGTTGTAGTGTTTGGACATTTTTAGTATATGTGGACAGTTGTATAACTGGTGGAATGGTGAAACAGTGAATCTATTTTCTACTTTTAAGGCAAGTTCACACTGATATGCTTCTTAGTTGGAGCAATTCAAACTCAGGTAAATGGTCAATGTTTACTTTTCTACTCTTCCTACTCACCATTGTCACAAACACAGAACCTACAGTACCAAGAGTCAAGGAATATTATTCTTTCCTTCTTAGGTATCAAGATGTTCAATCTCTGCCCCTCACTCCCTCCGTCCATCACTTCCTCCTTCTCTCCCTTTCTTTTCCTTTTTTAAAAGGGATATGTACAACCATTTTTCTTCTGCTTCCCCTGACTGCAGTTGCTCAGAATTATCAGTCTTGAGAAGGAAATTTAATTTTCCTTAGTTTCCCTTCTCCTTTTGTGCTTCTGTTTGGGCTGACTTAAGGGTTTTTGTTTGTTTGCTTGTTTGTTTTGTTTTGTTTTGTTTTTTCCTTATGAATTATTTCCTCTGTCCTTCACTCCCCTCCTGCAGATGAGGGCAGATGAGAAGTTGTCAAATTGTCAAATAGCTTCATGGAATTGTAATGTGCTTCTTTCTGCTGCTTGGTTGGTTGTAGGCTGCTTTAACAAGAAGGGATTGGCTGGGGCTGTAGAAATGGCTCAGAGGTTAAGAGCACTGGCTGCTCTTCCAGAGGTCCTGAGTTCAATTCCCAGCAACCACATGGCGGCTCACAAACGTCCATTATGAAATCTGGTGCCCCTTTCTGGTGTTTAGATACACATGGAAGCACACTGTTGTATGCATAATAAAAAATACAATCTTTTAAAAAAAGAAGAAGGGATTGGGACTATCAATTCTATAAACTAAAATTTCTTCAGAGAAATGGTAACATTACCTCTCTTTTCTTTAGCTTTACAATAGCTGGTTTGTAGGTAGTGTAATTTCTGACCATGTTGAAAACTTAGGAATGTTCAGTGTGCCTTCTACTTGTTGGGGAAAATGTTTTCATTTGAAAATGGACATTGAGATAAAACACATTCATAATAAATTTATTGTTCATGTGTATAGTCATTTTATTTTTAATATACATGTAATTTTTCCCTTTTTAAAAATTTATTTTTATTTAAATTAAAAACAAGCCTGATTCACATGTCAATCCCAGCTCCCTCTCCCTCCCCTCCTCTCCCCCACCAAACCTCCACCCCATCTCCCCCTCTGCTACCCAGGTATGGTGAGGCTCTCCTGGGGATCACCAAAGTCTGTCATGTCATCCAGGGCAGGGCCTAGGCCGTTCCCCATATGTCCAGGCTGAGAGAGCATCCTACCATGTGGAATGGGCTCCTAACGTCCAGTCATACAACAGGGATAAATACTGTTCCACTACCAGAGGTCCTATAGATTGTCGAGGCCTCCTCACTGACACCCACAATCAGAGGAGGTCTGGATCACTGCCATGCTGGCCTCCCAGCTATTAGTCTGGGGTCCATGAGTTCCCTCTTGTTCAAGTCAGCTGTTTCATGGGTTTCACCAGCTCAGTCTTGATCCTTTTGCTCTTCACTCCCCCCTCTTTGCAACTGGATTCCAGGAGTTCAGTTCAGTGTTTAGCTGTGGTTGTCTGCCTCTACTTACATCAGCCACTGGATGAAGGCTCTAGGGTGACATATAAGACAGTCATCAATCTCGTTATCAGGGAAGGGCATTTAAGGCAGCCTCTCCACTATTGCTTAGATTGCCAGTTGGTGTCATCCTTGTAGATCTCTGGAATTCACCCTAGTGCCAGATCACTCTTCAATTCTATAATGGCTCCCTCTATTATGGTATCTCTCATCCTGCTCTCCTCTGTTTTTCTCCCTACTCAACCTTCCTGATTCCCCATTTCCACCTCTCCCCTTGTCTACTCCCCCTCTCTTTCTTCCAACTCCCTCTCCCCTCCCCCCATATGGCTCAGGAGACCCTATCCCCTTCCTCTTCTCCAGGGAACCAGGCATGTCTCTCTTAGGGTACTCCCTGTTTCCCAGCCTGTCTTCCAGTGTGGATTGTAGGCTGGCAATCCCCTAATCCGTATCTAAAATCCACAAATGAGTGAGTACATACCATGTTTGTCTTTTTGTGACTGGGTTACCTCACTGAGGATAGTTACTTCTAGTGCCATCCATTTGCCTGTGACTTTCAAGATTCCATTTTTTTTTTTTTTTTTTTTTTTTTTTTTTTTTTTTCATCCATTTGCCTGTGAATTTCAAGATGTAATTTTTTTTGCCTCTGAGTAGTACTCCATTGTGTAAATGTACCACAATTTCTCTATCCATCCTTCAGTTGAGGGGCATCTAGGTTGCTTCCAGTTTCTGGCTATTACAAATAATGCTACTATGAACATAGTTGAACATTTGTGGTATGATTGTGCATCAATTGGGTATATGCCTAAGAGTGGAATTGCTGGATCTTGTGGTAGACTGTGTAGCGCCTGCACTACAACACTTCCACAGTATAGGGCGAGGGGCTTGAGGATTTAATTAAAGACGAGACAGCCGATCTTTCTTTCAGGGAGAATGCCATTTATTCCAACCAGAGTGGGGGCTTATATACCAGTCAGCAGGCATGATGGAAAACTACCCAGATCACATGTTCAGGTTCCCAGGCCCATCAGGCAATCCTGAATGGGCGAATAACAGGATAACAGGAACTTGCACTCAGGCCTTCAAGGAAGGAAGAAAACAGGATGTACTTGCTAGGTAAGCTCCTAGTCACAAGGTGGTCAGCAGACCCCTATGGGGGAAGGGCCCAACAAGACTGTTTCCCAATTTCCTGAGGAACTGCCATACTGATTTCCAAAGTGGCTGTACAAGTTGGCCCTCCCACCAACTGTGGAGGAGTGTTCCCCTTTCTCCACATCCTCTCCAGCATTGTTAGATTTTTGTTTAAATTAGAAATAAAGAAGAAGAAGAAGGCGCAAGATGAGACATATTAGACATATTAACCAGTTTATTATAGGCCCGGCAGAGTAGGGAGACTAAAGAGAGAAGAGGAACATGGTTAATGCCTGACTGCCATGGCCGGTCATCATAGACCAGGAGAGAAAAGAGAAGCAGAAGCAGACAGAGAATAGGAGAGAGAGAGAGAGAGAGAGAGAGAGAGAGCGTGTGTAAATAGTCAGGGGTCTGTCTTTTAAAGTGGTCCTCTGCACCTGTGTGCAGACTTAGTTCCCATGGAACCCTGAGCTGACCAGGGTACTGCCTGTTCTGTCAGGTAGCAGAGGCAGGCCAGCATAATGCCTGAACTTTTCAAGCATAAACTGTCATTGGTGTTATTTATTTTAGCCATTTTGACAGGAGTAAGATGGTATCTCAGAGTTGTTTTCATTTGCATTTCCCTGATGGCTCTTAAAGGATGTTGAACACTTTCTTAAGTGTCTATTATCCATTTTAGACTCCTCTATTGAGAACTCTCTATTTAGTTCTGTACCACAGTTTTTAATTGGAGTATTTGGTGTTTTGGAGACTAGCTTCTTGAGTTCTTTGTAAATTTTGGAGATCAGCCCTTTGTCAGATATGGGGTTAGTGAAGATCTTTTCCCATTCTGTGGTCTGCCTTTTTGTCTTGTTAACTGTGTTGCTTGCCTTACAGAGGCTTCTCAGTTTCAGGAGGTCCCATTTATTAATTGTTGAATTCAGTGTCTGTGCTACTGGTGTTATGTTCAGAAAGTGGTCTCCTGTACCAATTTGTTCAAGGGTACTTCCCACTTTCTCTTCTAAGAGATTCAGTGTGGCTTGCTT